CTGTACTCTCAGCTCCTGGAGGGCAGAGGGCTCCACCTGTGGGCTGGGAACCAGGCCTGGCCACAGCTGAGCTGACATATGTCTCTGTCCATCTATCCAGCAAACCCCCTGGGCATCCTGGTGGCCAACCTGCTGTCGCCCGCCCTGGTAAAGAACAAGGAGGACGTCCCCTTAATGGTGAGGGAGCTCATAAGGTACACCCACACGTGTGTGTGCATGTGCACACGCAGGTGTGTGTACATGTGTGTTTGTGTGATGTATGCATGCATCTGCGTGTGTGTTTGTGTGCATGCGTGGTGGGCTTGCACGTGCACATATGTCCATACCTGTGTGAGTGTACACCTGCCCCTCCCTGTGGCCACATGGGTGAGTACACTTGGTGCATGCAGGATTTCTCCACATATGCAACTACTGGGCACTTCTCAGTGTCAAGCACAGCTCTGGGGACCAGGCTGTTGGGAGGTTTCCCTGGTGGGGAGAGGCCTCCGGTGAGGTGAGAGGCTGACTGGATCAGGAGGAGGCATTTGTGGAGAAGGAGACCAGGGACCAGCAGAGAAAGGCCCTGGGATGGACTTGAGGTTGAAGGGGTGGGGGCTGCAGCCAGAGGCCGGTGTGTCCACTGAGCAAGGAAAGAGGAAGAGGGGAGAGTCATCCTGGGGGGTGGGTGGTTGGCTTTGGTGCAATGGAAAATCCAGGGTTTCTAAGTAGGAGAGTGATTCAGTCTGGTCCAGAACAACCCAGAGACAAGAGGTGTGGCTGGAGTGTCCGGGGGAGAGCTGGGGCTCTGGTTGGGTCAGGGAATGGGGGCAGGCGTGGACCGAGGGTCTGGAGGTGCCCTGAAGGACAAGGGGCTTCCACCTGTGCAGCTGAGTGAGTGTTGGGGTCATTCATGGAGGTGGGGAGAGGGGTCCTGTTGGCAATTGGATGGGTGAGTTGGAACTTCAGGGGAAGGTCAGGCTATGGCTGTCACTGTCACTGTGTGTGGGAGTCATCCTTGGGCGATGTTTCAAAAGCCAGGGTTCCAAATGAAGCAAAGCAGAGCTGGCCCATCACAAGCCCTGGGGCTCTCCGATGTCCACCTGGGGATGGAGAGTGGGGCAGCCAGCCAGGGGGGCAGTGTGCCACCTGGAGCCCAGAGCAGCAGGCGTGAGGTGCCTGTGTGTGTGTGTCCACCAGGGCCGGTGCATGCACGCACACACACACACGTGTGCACTCATGCATACCCTCTCCCCAGCTGGGCATCTACATCATCCCTGCCGGTCTCATCTGCCTGCTGGCCACTGCATGCCTCTGGGAGAGTGTGCCCCCCACCCCGCCCTCTGCTGGGGCTGCCTGCTCCACCTCGGAGAAGTTCCTGGATGGGCTGAAGCTGGTTGGTTCTGCAGGATCTGGGGCTGGGGTGGATCTGGAGGCCAAGGAGGGCAAAGGGCCTAGACAGGCCCTGTTGGAGCCCTTGAGTGTCCTGCTGGGGCTCCTGGGCTGAGCGGCCCCTTCCCCTGCAGCTCGTGAGGAACAAGGCCTACGTCATCCTGGCCGTGTGCTTTGGGGGCGGCATCGGCATCTTCTCCAGCTTCTTGGCCCTCCTGGAGCAGGTCCTCTGCGTGAAGGGTTACTCCAACGTGAGTGCCTGCCTGCCCTGGGCTGCATCCTGCAGGCTGTCTGCCTCTGCCACTCTCCCGCCTGTGGCCGTGGAGTGGCCCATGACCTCCCCAGCTGCTAGTTTCCACACCTGGATGGGGTGACCTCCTGTTGTGGGTGGCATTGAGCTGCTGTGTGTGTAAAGTCATGTTGCCAAACTTGGTCTGCAGATGGTGGGGTGGCAGCCTGGGGGGGTGGGGTGCCCAGTGGTACCAGGACTTTTTGTGCTGCTTTTTACGGTCTTTCCCAACGCCCCACCCAGGACAGCCCCCACCCCACGGGTGTCCAGAGAAGGGTTCTCGTCTGATATTTGCAGATGCAGAGGGGAGGGCCTTGCTCTGCTCCAAGCATCTCTGGCTGTGCCCTCTGCTGTCTAGTGTCAGCCCTGGGTGTGGGGTTCGGGCTGGCATGTTCCCAATTCTTCAGGGGCACAGAGGCACCAAGGGGCATCTGTAGCAAACAGGACTTTCCCTTTACAAATTGTTGAATTCCTGGGGTGGGGTGGCACAGGGAAGAGGCACCTCCAGGGGAGGACGTACCACATCCCCCAGGCCTGCACACAGCCAGCCGTGTAGCTGAGCTTTCCGTGTCGTCCTGCCTGGGACTCAGGTGCTGCTCAGTGACCCTGTGTGGGCTCTCTGGTGATGGTGTGCATCCTGGAGATGAGGCCTCCTCCTGGGCCCTGGTGGCACTGTGCCCTGAGGATGAGTGCTCCCAGCCTCCTCTCCTCCTCCAGGAATTTGCGGGCTTCTGTGCATCTCTCTTCATTGGATTTGGGGTCCTGGGGGCACTGGTTCTCGGCCTGTACGTGGACCGGACCAAGCATTTCACTGAAGCCCTCAAGATTGGCCTCTGTCTGACCTCCCTGGTCAGCGTGGCCTTTGCCCTGGTGAGAGTCCCCTCAAACTGAGACCACCCTCCAGGGTGGGAGTGGGGTGCCCTGGGGCAGGGCAGCTGGCAGCTCAGCCAAAACAGACATCCAGGCCCTCTCAGGCCATGGCACTGCCCACTGGTTGATCTCTGGATGGGATGGGCTCCCCGGCCCCCGATTCTAGGCCTGCAGAGACAGAGCTGCTGTGCAGGGCCTGGCTGGGTCTGGGTGTCCAGGCTGAGGCACGTCTGACTGCTGCCTGGACCCTCTGTGCGGCTTGTTGCCCCCCAGGTGTCCCAGCTTCCAGGACAGACCCATGCCCTGGCTGTCATCTGCTCGCTGTTTGGGCTCTTTGGCTTCTCTGTGGCACCCGTAGCCATGGAGCTGGCGGTCGAGTGTTCCTTCCCTGTGGGTGAGGGTGCGGCCACGGGCCTCGTCTTCGTGCTTGGGTGAGTGTCTGTCCCCCTGCCACTTCCCTGGGGACCCCAGAGACCCTCTCCTTGCCCATCCCAGGCCTCACAGCAGGTGACCTGCCTGCTCCATCAGGGGTTGACATGTTCTGAGCACCCATGCAGGCCTGGGCCAGCCACTGGGGCCCACACTGACCAGAGCAGCACGCTGCCCTTAGAATGACCACTGGCCCTGCGGGCGCCAAGCAGTGCCCAGGGCAGGGCTGAGGGCCTCGTGGCTATCCAGGCAGGCCGAGGGTGTGCTCATCATGGTGCTGCTGACTACTCTGACCGTTCGTCGTGCGGAGCCATCCTTCTCCACCTGCCGGGATGGCCAGGGCCCATTGGACTGGATGGGTGAGTGACCCGGCCCATGGGAGCCCCCAAGAGCACTGGTGAGGAGGTCAGGGCTGGGCACCTCCTGACCCTGGCTTCAGCCCTGGGAACCTCCCCTCCATGGGCCCCCTTCTCTTGGCACCGTCTGCTGTCCTTGATGAGCAGGTGCAGGGCACCCTTGGGGCGAGGGCGGGATGGGGTCAGAGGGCAAGAGTCAGGGCCCCCAGGCTCAATATGGCGGGAGCAGCCCTGAGGCCCTGACGAAGGCCCAGCCTCTAAACCACCCGTGTGAGTTATTTTAAAATGAGATTAGAGAAAGAGAAAGAGATGCAGAGAGAGACAGAGACAGAAACACAGACAGAGAGAAAGAGAGAGAGAGAGAAAGAGGCAGACACAGAGACAGAGAAAAACAGAGAGGGAGAGATAGAGACAGAGATAGAGACAAAGAGAGACAGACAGAGAATCGGGAATGGGGACAGCCACCAGTGGGGTCGTGCACACCCACAACCTGAGATGGGTATGGTGACCTTGGAATTCATGGTTGGGTCTGTGAATGTGCCCTCGAGGCCTGTTGGGGGCTGGGATGGGATCTGTTTCCAGGGTCACTCTGTGGTAGTGGTTCATGGGGTCTGCTGGGGCTCTGCGGCTCTGTAGCCACCCCGGGTGCTGTGGGCGGGGGGGGGGGGTCTGGCACTTGGGCGAGCCTTGGGGCAGAGCTGCGCTGTGTCTCCCCAGTGTCCATGCTGCTGATGGCCGGCCTGTGCACCTGCTTCAGCTGCTTCTTGGTGCTCTTCTTCCACACCCCATACCGGCGCCTGCAGGCTGAGGCCAGCATGAGCCCCTCCATCCAGGAGGATGCATGTGCGGTAGCTGAGGACCACACACCCTACCCTGCAGCCACCCCTGAGCCTCTGCCTTGGGACCCCACAACTCCCAGCACTGATGCCACAGGAAGCTCAGAGGCAGCTCATTCCTGGGGCCGGCTATCCTGACACTGCCTCCCTCCTCCTGGGAGCCCTGAGCCCCCAGGACCCCCAGGACTTGCTGAGATGCCACAAGGAGCCCTGCAGAGGACCAGAGGCCAAGGGACCAGTTGGTGTGTCGAGAAGAGGCCTGGGGACATGAACGGGAGGTGGGAGAGGCAGGCCCTGGTCATCTCTGCTGTGCCAGCCATGGCTGAGCCTGGGATGGGGTGTCAGCGTCCTGCAGATGCCTAGGGACTCGGGCTCCTCAGCACACCCAAGGCACGACAGGGTGGTCTGGGGGACCTTGTGGCTGTAGCAAGAAAAGCTGTTGCTGTGCGGACAAGCAGCCACTGATCAGGCAGGATGCCCAGTGGCCAACCCAGGCACAGGGTGGCAGGTACGGGGCAGTGTATGGGGGGCATGAGGGGCATGGGCTGACAGGGAGCTGGATGGGTTGGGGGTCATGAGGGCACCCAGCATGGTTGAGTCTGGAGTGGACAGGTGTGGGGAAGGCCTTCCTTGAAGGAGCCCATCCAGAGCCTCTCTCAACCTCTGCTGACCACTGAGTGACCAGACCCCCAGCCTGGGTGCTCAGGACAGGTGTGGGGAGCAGGTTGGGCCAGGCTGGGCTGGGAGAGGGAAGTAGAGGGAGGAACCCACAGGCAGATGCTCACCCTGCAGACCCTCCCACTTCCCAGGAGGACACCTCCTCCTCCCCCGACAGACACTCGCAGGCAGGTCTGTGGGTTCAGGTTCATGTTTATTATTACCCCGTGGCGGTCACGTAGCTCAGGGCCTTGTAGTGCAGGTTGCCTGTGGCATCCATGGTCGCCAACTGGAACGTCTGGTCCACCTGCGAGTGGGTTTGGTCTGGAAGTCAGGCCCAGGCAGAGGGAGGGAGCAAAGGCTCCGCGGGGCCTGCAGCCACTGGGGGAATTACACGCGCTGAACTCCAGGTGCCTCCAGTCTTGTTTCTGTGCTTGAGGACACTGCAGAGCAAGGGGTGGGTTGGGCTCAGCCACTCCGTGTTTCCCCCACCCAAGGGCCATGCTTGGGCTTCACAGAGGGCCTTGGAGGAGTGAAGGTGGTGGGGTGGGGGCCCAGAGGGCCAAACCTCCTCAGCGGTCGTCTCGTCAGCTCGCGACATCAGCAGCCGCTCCATGCTGAAGACAAGGAGGGAGGGGCCCGATTAGACTGCTGTCAGGAAGTGGAGGGGCCACCCCAGGGGAGCCCTGTGCCCCGGTCAGTTCACGACTTCACTGATCACAGAGCAGGTGCCCAGGGAGCCTTGCCTGACTTGCACCCTCAGGGGTCCTCACGCCTGGGGGCCGGAGATTGAGGGAGATTAGAGGCAAGTGCCTGGCACAGCAAATACGCCTGTCCCCAGGGCTTGGCTGAAGAAGCCTCAAGGGGGCTAAAGACCCAGCCATATCCCAGTGATGGTGACCACTCGGGTCACTGGGTGCTGGGCCCTGCGTGGGCAGGACTGGTTTGCCCTCGGCTGCCCTGAGGGACTCAGGATCCCGGAGTGGACTGCTCAAGTCTTAGAAGCTGGGGGTGGGGTTGGCGTGGCTCAGATGCAGGGCACACCTGGGTGCCATGGCCACACTCACTAGTCCTTGTTGACGCCGCTCTTGCCATCGGGGTCCAGCATCTTGAAGGCATTTAGGATGATCTCCTCCATATCAGTACCTGCCCACAAGAGGCCACGAGCCCTGGGCATTTAGGACCCAGGCCTGCTCCCGCCCTGGGGTCCTGCCTCCGCCCATCCATGCCCTCGGCCTGAGCATCCTTCCTGCTCCTGAGCACCTGGGAGCCCCTGAAGCCCCAGGGGGACTATTCTCGGGGTCCCCAGGGTCCTGCCCTGGCCCAGAGCTGGGGTGAGTGCTCAGCAAGTGAGGGACAGAGGCCACCGCCAGCAGGAGACAGGAGGTGGCCCCACAGCTGTGGGTCCCAGAATGCCAGGTTTTAGGGCTTTTCAAGAGATCTGAAAATTTGGATTTTTATTTGAAACGTTTGGATTTCTAAGTGTTAGGAGCTAACTACACACACACACACACACACACACACACACACACACTGCGTTGGCTCACCCACCTGAGGGCGCCTGGCCCCTTGGCCCTTACCACTCAGCTTCTCCCCAAACATGTTCAGGAACATGGTGAAGTTGATGGGCCCTAAGGCCTCCTTGAGCATAGTGTCCAGTTCTTTGTCCTTGACGTTGATTTTGCCTGTCACAGACGAGGGGGGTCACTGGGCAGGAATGTCACCTGGCTGTCCTTGTTGATGTGTCCATTGTCCCCACTGGCAGGTGCCCCATGGGACTGCCCCTCTTTGTTGTTCTCCAGGTGACCCCAGAACAAAGTTGGGGGAGACCAGATGGAGGGAGGTGAGCAAATGGTGGTACACATGGCGGAGGTGTGGTGGGGAACAGGTTCTGCACGTCAGCAGAACCCCGAACCCTGAGCCATGGGAGAGGGACTGTGAGGAGCTGGAGGAGGAGGAGGCTGTGCACGGAGCCCGGGAAGATCTGTGATCTGCTTACCTGACTTAAGGGGGCCCAGAGAGAAAGCTGGTCTGTGTGAACCCCACTAGGTAGAAACCAGTCTGCCCTCCCAGCTCCAAGGGCAGGAGCGCCTCGGGCTCAGAAGAGCACGTCCCCAGATGAGGAGTCGAGGGGGAGGGCAGCGGGCCAGGCGGTACTGTGCTTTGGAAAGAACCAGCCTTTGGCTCTTTGGAGGAGCCCCAGGGGCCTCCACACCTCTACCAGCTCTGTTCCTTAGTGTGCCTGCCTGTGCGGTGGTGTCCCCGGGGCATCGCCCCTCAAGCCCTGCCCCAGCCCCCTATCCAGGACGCCCATGCTGGGGCTGTGCCACCCACCCTGTCTCGCCCTGGTGGTGTCCTCTGCCAGCCCTGATCAAAGCAGAGGGCATTTCTCCCCTGGGAGGCCCTGCCCCCTTCTCACAGCCTGTGGGACGTCAGACCAGCTTTAAGGCTGAGGAGGGGAGCTGGGCTCCACAGGCTGGAGGACACTCCGCAGTGGGCTGTGGCAGAGTTCTGCCTGGGGCACCTACCCAGGGAAGCGTAGGTGGCCTTCAGGTCCTCCTTGTCGATGAAGCCATCTTGGTTCCGATCCATTAGTGTGAACTCCTGGAACCAAGGCCAGGGTCACAGGGCTGCCAGGCCAGCTGCACCCCGTGAGGACAGGCACCTATTCTTACTGGTTCTCGAGCAAGGCTCACGTGAGGTCCTCTGGTCACTTGCCTTACAATTCCCAGGGGAATTCCAAGCAGGAGCTTCTGGGTGGTGGGTTCCCAGGACAAGGGCAGACCCTCACCTCATTAAACTCCTGGATCTGGGTCTGCTCAAAGTTGGAAAAGATGTTGGAAGACGATCGAAGGGCCCCCCTCTTCCTTCTTCTTGGTCTTCCTGCTGGCCTGAGGTGAGAACACTGAGGCTGAGGGTCCCTAGGCTGGCTGGGCCTCTCCTTGGGGGCACCCAGGTGTTTTGGGAGGCTTAATGCAGAGGATGGGTGGACCAAGGCACTGGCGCTCCGGGGGCCCTGGCTGGGTGCAGGGCTGGGGCAGGTGCTCGGTGTGGGCACAGGGAGCCCAAGAGGCCCTGAGAGCACGGCACCCTGGCTTCATCCAGAACTGTGCACTGCTCGGTCTGTGGTCCCGCCGGGAGCCAGCTGGGCCTCCGAGTGTCCGGGAAGCAAATGACTGTGCAGGCGGCCAGCAGGCGACGGGCTTGTTCCTGGGATCCCGCCCAGACCCCGTCGTCCGGCCCCAGATCGTCACGGGGGCAGCCGTTGGGCACGGATCTCCATCCCCCCAGTGCACACACACTATCACACGTGTACACAAACTCAGCTTGTATGCACACATATGCAAAACACAAACATACATGTGGAACACGTATGCATACATTAATCCAGTCACACAAGCACATCATGCACAAACACACATACATGATAGCGTATGTGCACACTCATGCTCATGCACGCGTGCACATGCAACACACTCACCATGCCTGGGTCTGCCTGATGGAAGGGTCTTTGCCCTCCCTGCCCAGGTTGTCCGTCTTAAGCTCCTGCCCAGTCCCCCAGGACAGCTCAGACTCCAACTGCCACTCCCTGCAAGGACAGGCTTGGTCCCTCGGGGGAGTGGACAACTGCAGAGTGACCTTTGGCACCCAGCAGTGACTCAGAGGCCCAGCAGGGTCCCCAGCCTCCCAGGCGTCTCCTCACCTGTCTCCACCCAGGAGCCTTCATTCTCCCGGATTCTGTGCATCTCCAGGGCAACCTACACATGCACTGAGGGCCTGGGCAGCTGCAGGAGCCAGAGGGAGGGGCGCCTTTCCCAGATTTGTACAAAGCCGCTGTGAGTGGCCCTGGCGGCCAGTTACCATGCACTCCCCCAGCATGTTCTAGTGCCCTCGCCTCCCTGCCTCAGTGGCAGACAAGTCTCAGGGCCACCAACTCTGGCCCTGGGGTCACTTGTCCTGTCCCCATGGCTGGGAGCTCCTTGTCTGGCACACGGGGGGAAGTGTTTCTGGGATGGAGGGCCACCCAACTGGGCCTGGCCGGGGCCAGCTCTCAGTCAGGTCTTCCCACTACGCCATGGCCCTGTGGGCAGTCTGGGGAGGAGACCTGGCCCAGGGTGCCTGTTGGCGGTGCCCAACATCGGAGGTCGCCACAGAGTCAGGATGGATGCCCTGGTCCTGGCTGGGGGAGTGCAGGGCTGGGGGCAGCAAAGGAGGGGTCTGCAAGCCAAGCTGGGGTACAATGAAGTGGGCAGGCAGGACTCGGCAGTTTCACACCTGAGCACGAGCCCTTGGGGCCAGGGGCCTGCCCCAGGAATAAGGGGTCGGGCTTGCAAGGTCCCTGGGCACAACTCTGAGCCACGTGGTGCCCCTAAGGGGCTGCCACATGCTCTCTCAGGGCCAGCTCACTGTTTGCCTGAACCAAGTGTGGACAACAGACATCCTGAGGAACCTGGGGAGGCATGACCTGCCTGGAGGGCTTCCAAAAGGAGAAGCGTGACCGAGGCAGGGGACCTGAGCCTGGGCTCCACCCTATACAGGCACCTCCCTGCTCCCGTCTGCCTCTGTTGGCTGTGACACCTGGAGGGACCCTGGCTGGGCTGTAGAAGTCGGGGCGCCACACTGAGAGGGGTGGGCATGCGGGATCTGTGCTCAGAAAGCCTCTGACTCAGGGAAGGCAAGAAGGGCCAGCAGAACCCCTGGGGAGGGTTCCAGGGGCCAGCCGGGGGCTGAGCAGAGCACTAAACATAGCTGCAGAGCCCAGCTGCCTGGAGCATATCGGGATTCAGCATGGACAGCCGGCCCTGACAGGTGCAGGGGCATCAGCAGGCGACCTGGTGTCCTCAGCCAGGTGGGACCTCCCCAGCCCCCAGGAAGCGCTGTGGGCCAAGGCAGGTCTCCCTGGCTTCAGGGGTCATGCCGGGGCAGTATGTGTGTGTCTTCTGATGGCCGGCTGCCCTCCCAATGGAAGCTCCCCATATGTGGCCCCCTGCCAGCACTCTGGCCCCACCTTCAGCCCCAGAGACACTTATTTTTGATTCTGGAAGCAGGAGCTGTTGATAAGTCCAGTTTATTTTAAAATCCAGGGAAATGAAAACGTTTGTCACTTGAGGTCGTCTGCTCAAGGGCAAGAACGGGGGGTGTGTGTGCACGTACTCGCGCACGTGTCAGCATCGCATGTCACATGTTGGCAGAGGAGGTTTACTTTGTGCCTTGTGGGGTCAGTGTGCACTTACAGCTTCCTCAGGGAGTGATGAGGGAACTCGGGGAGGCCTTCCCCCAGCCCCAGGCCCCGCAGGGGCCTGGAGGACCCACATCAGGCAGGAGTGCTCCGAGGGCTCAGATAAGGGCCCAGCAGCCTGTAGGATTGACCTCGGCATTCCCACCCCCAGCCCAGGAGACAGCTCAGGTGATTTTCTGGTGTCCCAGCTGGGAGGCCCAGAGCCAGGGCTCCAGAACAAGCTGGAGAGGGAGCAGGCTCTGCCCGGGCCCTCCCCTCTGCCGTGCAGATTTACTAAGCACTGCCATGTGCCCTGGAGTTCTCGGCTGCTTCCTGTTCTCTTTAGATTTATAGTTAAGTTCTCTTTGGAAACAGGTGGGTCTGATGAGGAGTAAGTAAAAGCAGCCCCCCCAGTGGAGCGGGGAGCCTGCTAAACCCCAAGCCTTGGTGCTCAGTAGCTTCTGTTGGGAGCAGTGCAGGGCCCGGGGTTGGGTGGTCCTCCCTCCAGGCCCTCAGACTGTTGCCATGTGTCAGCTCAGTTGGGAGGCTGTCTGGCCACCACTGCCCCCTCTCTGAGCAACCCCCCTGCACACTCGGGGCTGGCCCCGCAGTGTCTTCCCCGGGGCTGACCACAGAGCTGGGGGAGATGGGCAGCTACTCTGAGGGGGACGGAGTATCCCGCAGGTGTGACCCCGCCCCCCCCACAAGCAGAGTGCGGCAGAAGTGAGAGTGAGCCTCAACAGTCCCTGAGGCACGGGTTGAGGTGGACCTTAGAACTTGGACTTCAGAGTCCTGAAGCAGGAGTCACGGAGACCCAGGGAGCAGGCTCTACTGGGCGGTCCTCCCAGAAGACCCCAGCCCTCTCTGCCAGAGAAGCTTCTGGGGTGAGGAAGCTCTCGCTCTGCTGGGGGGCTGGGACAATGACTAGGGGGTAGCTGGGGGGGGGCAGCCAAGGCAGTGTGGTCCCAGGAAGGGGCTCTGTGAGTCCAGGGGGGCGAGGGCCTTGTGGGGGGCCTGGGGGGTGTTGATGAATCAATCTGTGGGTTAAAATTGGTGAGAGTTTATTATGTGCCAGGTCTGAGGACTGTAGCCTGGGGACTTTCTTACCCAAGGAAAGAAGCACACCATGGAAGTGGGGTGTGCAGAGTGGTTACATACTGTCTTGGAACAAAGAGCATACATCACATATGACAAGAATGTCCCTTTTAAAACAGTCATGAGATTGCCTTTCTGGTGACCACAGCAGGTTGGTAATTAATCCTTAGTCTCCAGGAAGAGATGCTTATCCTTAAAGAAATGCTGATATGGGGGGAAGCCACATCCCTATCTTTAGGGACATCATTCTTGTCTTTGGGACATTGTAAATGTTTAAAGCAGATGCACAATGCCTGCTCAACAGGCCATGTCAGGCCCTTTTGGAAAAACAAGGTTGGGCCAAATTAGTTGTTTTTTTTTTTAAAGATTTTACTTTTTTCCTTTTTCTCCCAAAGCCCCCCGGTACAAAGTTGTGTATTTTTTAGTTGTGGGTGCTTCTAGTTATGGCATGTGGGATGCCGCCTCAGCATGGCTTGATGAGCAGTGCCATGTCTGTGCCCAGGATTCGAAACCCTGGGCCACCAAAGCAGAGCGTGCCAACTTAGCCACTCGGCAATGTGGTTGGCCGCCCCCAAGTTAGTTTTAACCCAAATGGCTTCCTCATATACTCCAATGTATCCTGTTGCTTTAATTTATTCATCAAGGCAAGGGGGCCTGGGGCCTGGGGGCAAGAGGACCTGGGGACAAGGGGGCCCGGGGCAGGGGGCCTGCCCGGGGGTCTGGGGACAAAGGAGCTGAGGGACAAGGGGGCTGGGGGCACAGGGCCTGCCCAGGGGGCCTGAAGACATGGGACCTGGAGACAAGAGGGCCAGGAACACCGGCCCTGCTCAAGGGGCTTGGGGACAAGGGGGCCTGGGGCACAGGGCCTGACCAGAGGGCCTGGGGACAAGGGGGCTGGGGGCTTGGGGCCTGACCAGGGGACCTGGGGACAAGGGATCCTGGGGACATGGGGCCTGGAGACAAGAGGGCCAGGAGTACCAGCCCTACCCAAGGGGCTTGGGGACAAGAGGCCTGGGGACAAGGGTGCCTGGGGCACAGATCTGCCCAGGGGGAGCCGGCCTGCGCTTGGGTCACACCTAGTGCCCAAACCCCTTCCTGGCCGTCTAGGCGGCTGACCGGCCGGGCGTGCCTGGACAGGCCTGGGCGGGTCGGGGCCACACTCCAGCCGCCTGGGCAGGTTGGAGCTCCATCCCCGACTTCCAGGGCAAGCGCACGGAGCGCACTCTCTTTTGCACTTTGCAAGCTTGACTCATAGTTTCCTCTGTTTGGACCTATGGTGCGCGGGCCTCGACTTGCGCTCAGCCTGGCTGGAGAACGTCAAGGGCCACGGGACCGACGCACAGCCCAGCAGCCTGCCCTCGCCGCCCGGCCAAGGCGCATGCGCAGCTGATCGCGAAGCGCGCGCCTCGGACCTCTGGCGCGCCCGGTGACGTCACCCACAAGCGGGCGCGCGCAGCTCCCCCCGCCCCCGACCCCGTCCGCCAGGGGGCACCGCCCCACGTCCGCTCGCCGCCGACGGCGCATGCGCTCGCCTGGGTACGCTTTTGCGTCTCCACAGCTTTCCGGGACCTTGCGGCGTCCTCGGCCCGGCTCTGTGCTTCCGGTGCGAAGGTCACGGACAAGATGGTGCCCCCGGTTCAGGTCTCTCCGCTCATCAAGGTGAGCCAGGCTTCGTTACTGCCGCTCGGTGCTTGGCTCCGTGTGGGTCCCCTGTGTGCGACCCCTGGAGCGCGCGACCCCCACCCCCAACCACGTGGAGCCTGCGATCCCCTTCCCCCACGACCCCCGTTCTCTCTCTCTACCCCCACCCCTTCCCCCGACCCCGTGGAGCCTAAGACCTCCTCCCCCCGCAGCCCGCCACCCGCGCCCCCCTCTCCCTAAGCCACGGACCTTGCGACCTCCGTTCCCTTTCCTTACTTCATGGAGCCTGCTACCCCCGCCCCCTCCCCGCGGAGCCCGCGACCCCCACCCCCGTCCCTCTGACCGCCGGCCCTCTCCCTGCAGCTCGGCCGCTACTCCGCCCTGTTTCTCGGCGTCGCCTACGGAGCCAAGCGCTACAGTGAGTGACCGCTGTCCCCGCCGACCGGGCGGCGCTCGGGGCTTCTCAGAGCCTGTTCGGCCTCCCCGGTGCCCCCAGTAAACCCTAGCGAAGTAAACGCGCCAGGGGCGAGAAATGGGGCAGGGTGGGAGGGGCTTGATCTCTGAGCGCAGCCCCAGCAGGTGTGCATTATGTCAAGCAGGTGTCTATTAGCTCGAGCGTGCAGTAGCTCAAGCAGGGCTGCAATAGCTCAGGTAGGTGTGTATTAGCTCCATCAGGTGTGCATTAGCTCGGGTGTGCAGTAGCTCAAACAAGTATGTGTTAGCTCAGGTAGATGTGTGTTAGCTCAGGTAGGTGTGTGTTAGCTCAGGTGTGTGGTAGCTCGGGTGTGCATTGGCTCCAGTGGCCAAGACCCAAAGTGCGTTCTGCTGCTTGGCCCGCCCAGGGAACTGGAAAGCAATTGATTTTTGTTGAAAACCGTGGAGCCGAGTGGGTGTTGGGGGCGTGCTGCGGTCTGAGCTGGGCAGCCCTTGTAGCACAGAGGATGGAGCGAGCGAGCAGGGTGCCTGGGCAGCAGCGGGGACCCTTCAGCTGCCCTCTGAGTTGGGCTCTCTGTTGAGGGGTGAAGGTGAGGCCTCCACCTACATCCAGCTGAAGGAGGTGGCAGCAGGTGCACCTGGCGTATTCAGTGCCCCTTAGGTAACTTTTTGTGTGGACTGAGTTCCTTCTATGCAGTGTTTCCTTGAAGAAGTTAACTGAAACCTCCTCCCTTCCCGCTTTCCTGAAACAGGTTACCTGAAACCTCGGGCAGAAGAGGAAAGGCGGATAGCAGCTGAGGAGAAGAAGAAGCAGGATGAGCTGAAGCGGATCGAGAGAGAATTGGCAGAAGGTACTCCTGTTACTGCATCTTGGGGATTTGTCTTCCATCCAGATTTTCAGAAACAAACAGCTGCTGGCCCGTGTGAGCCCCACAGTGGAGGGAGGGGTGGCCTCCTTTCATCCAGCACTGGCCCTGTGGTCCTCCTCTCGGGGGAGGGGAGCAGAGTCCTATATGTTGGGGGACATGGTGACACCTTGCATCTGGTGAGGCCCAGGCACACTTTTCCCCCGACTGCCGTGGCAGGTCTCAGTCACAAGTGCAGGGACGAGGAAGACCACGGATGGGAGCTGAAGGAGAGCACGGGCAGGCTCCACTGGAATTAGACACTGGGTTGCTTGAAACCCAGACCCTGAAGTGGTCCTTTTGGATCAACTGAGCATGGAGTAACACATGTTTCCTTTAACCTTTTAGCCCAAGAGGACACCATCCTGAAGTGAGCCCGCCTGGCTCCCTGGAGCAGTGTGGATGAATAAAGCTTTTTGTGGGGTGACGCCGTGGCTTTCTTTATTGTCTCACTTGTCCCATTTCTGGATTCAAGCTCAGTGGTTGTACTCTGTCCTCCTCAGTTTCGGTGGGGTGGAGATGGGGAGGGGGGTTTCAGAAGAACTGCTCACCCATTACAGACCCAGGATGCAGCCCACAAACAGGGCAAAAACACAGAAACTCTGTCACCTGTTGTCTGGGGTATCCCGGTGAGGAACCCTAAAGGTTGCAGTTTGTAACAGACACAGCTGGCCCGGGCGACATGGGTGCTGCTCGGTCTTCTCTGAGCCACAGCCCAGACCCCTGGACGAGCACTGCAGGGAGCAGGCAGTGCAAGTGTTGAGGGGTGGAGGTGGCTGGGTGCCCTTACAGTTGGAACCTGGATGTCCATCCCCTTCATGAATCCTCCCCTTGACCCCAGGGAGGGGATGTGGCCTCTTGAGGACCAGTGTGGCTGTTGCATAAGCTGCTCAGGGGGTTTGCATCTGAGATGCCTGAGCAGACAGGCTGTTCTGCCCCTGCTGGCCATGCCCCTTTGACCCCTGAGGCCTGGTGTTGGACTGTTGCTCTTTCCCAGCTATAGGCCTTGAGCAGATTTCCTGGGCTTTGAGTCCCAGTTCATTGGTAAAATGAGTTCATTTGCAAGTGTGAAAAGCAGAAGCAGCAAAAGCACTTCAGAGCCCTGTTTGTGGTTCAGGCGAGGTTTGGGGGAGCCCACCCGGCCTCCTGAGGTGGTGGCATCCAGTTGAGGGGAGGTGGCTGGCGCCGAGCCCCTCTGGGAACCTGGAGGAGCCCCTGCCCCTGTCACAAGCCCTTGTCACCAGGTGCCACTGACTGCTGAGATGGAAACTAAACTCCTTCCTGTGAGCAATGGCCGTGCAGTGCCCCCCCGTCGCCAGGAGTTCTGGGCGAGGGCCTGAGCTGCATCCCAATTGGTCTTACAACCACTGGCCTAAACGTGCAGCTGGGAAGTTTCCCATGGGATTAAGTGTCGTCCAGTGTCAGGAACAAATGTTCTGGAGCTCATGTTACCTGTTAAAAGTCCTTAATTTCAACCAGATGATTAGTACCCGGTTTGGGCCTGACTGCCTATCTTCCCAGCTCGCAAACATTAAGTCATTGGAGGCATGTGCTTGCTGCTGTAAGGGAAAGCTCAGTTGTAAAGGAGGACTGGGGTAGAACACAGGTGTTTGCAGGAAGGCCCACGCCAGCCTCTGGGTCTGTCCGTGCAGTTCAGAGCAACTCCACGCGGAGCACTTGCTACAGATCATTTCTGCACCGATCAGTCAAGTCAGGTCGAGGCTCTACTCACAGCCTTGCTCTTTCTGGCAAGACTTTCCGATGGGTCACATATGGTGTGCCTGCCCCCGTAATTTGTGCCATGTAAAAAAAGGGCAACTTGTTTTTATTTTATTCTAAACTTCTGGTCATAAGTTTTTTCCTAAACCAGATGGGAAGCAGCATCTGTGTATCCATCTCTCTACTCATATACACATAAACACATGTGCAGTTGTGAATGTCCCACCCAGTGCTTTCAGACACAGTTCACAGGCCCTTTAGAGATCTCTCGGTGGTGTTACTATGTATCCAAAAGGTGGATGAGTGTAAGGTAGGCTACACTGTGCAAGTTATTGATGGTTGGCTTTAGTTTATAAAAACAAACCTTAAAAAGGTTCAAAATGTTCAGAGTTGTCTTCAGTCATTTTCTCGGGCTTCCTAAGCTCTTGTACCAAACCTATAGAGGCACAATCCTGCAGGCATGGGGCTGAAGCCATCGGACCCCACTGACTGGCTCACAGGATGCTGCAGGTGGAAGACTTGGGCGCTGGGCCACCGTTGCAGATCTCCGTGCCTGCTGCAAGAGAAGACACGAGGGTAAGCGAAAACTGTGTGCACACCAGCCCCACTCCTGCACTCCGCTCCGCGTCCTCTACCAGCCCCGAGGAGGAGGGCAGAGCGCGGGTCTGCGGTCAGCCTAAGCCGATTAGCCGGGCTCAGCCTTTCTTATCTTAGCCCTGGTGACACTTTCAGTCCTGGCCTCCCTCAACCTGAAACCGTCCTGTTTACCTTGGTTTCCTCCCCACGGTGGGGACCTGGAGCGGGCAACAACAAAAGTCCCCAAGCTGAGGGGACCAAGCACAGGAAATACAAGGCGCAGGAAACAAAAGCTCTGACAGCACAGGGAGGGGGGCATGCACACTTGGCTCCTCTCTCAGCTCACTTCCTTTCCTTTTTTTTAGGCCTGCTGTTTGTTTCTGAGGGTGGCACGGAAGTATAGGTAGATTTTCTGAGTTACTTAGGAGGGAACTGATGCTTGATGGTGGAACAAAAGAGCTGTTAAGAGTCCATGATGTTCCACCTGGCCTTTCCTCCCCTGCATAAAACAAGTAACACTTGATGTGTTATTTTCTCAGAGAAAATGAGTGCCTGGCTAGGAACAAGAGGAAATCCTTTTAGTCCGGCTAGTTAGCTAGGATGAATTAGCAGGGCTGGTTCTGTGGGAGGGGCCTCCCCACCTGCCTCCTCAGTGAGGAATCTGAGGGGGCCAACCCCAGGCCTGCTGGAAACCTGCCTCTGCTTCAGATCTGACCCTGCTGCTCAATTCTGTCTCCTCACACGCTGACTTGGGGATTAGCCAAGGGCCAGCCCCTGCCCCCATGGGCCGTGGCAGGAGCGGAGCCCAGACCTTTTTTGGCCCCTGTCCTCTCCTCCTGCTTCTCCTCCAGGGCCTTCAGTTTCGCCTCATACTCATCAGCCAGGGCCTTCCACTCCTTCCTGTTGTTCTGCAGTCGGTCAAACATGGGCAGGATCTCCTCGTGGAAACGGGAAAACTCCTGGAAAGGGAATCAAGTCGGGCACACCTCCCACTGCCCCCGGGCAGGTTGGGACCAGGCTTCCCCACGCCCCGCCTCCCTCACCCGAGGGGAGTACCCATGAAGTGGCCCGCCCATGCAGGAGGAGGGAGGGAGGGCCACTGAGATGCCACTTTCCCAGTAAAGCTCTGAAGAGGGAGAGTGGCTCTAGCTTGTGCTCTTGAAGTTAGAACGGGGAGCTGTGGGGTGTGAATGCTTATGATACAGATGGCCTTGGGTGAAGATCCCAAGAATAGAGTGAAAATAACCACAGAAGGGGAGTCCCCGGCAGAGGGGTGGGAAGGCTCGGTGCACCTGCGGGTCCTGCAGCTCCTTCTCCCATCTCACATACACACAGCATGCATCATGGCGCACACGTCATGCTCACACATGCACACACACCGGCTGTGGATCATGTGGATGCCGTCGGGGAAGGCAGTGGTGGGGAGCCCCACACTGGGGCTGCACCTGTGACCTTCAGGGCTGGAACGTACATCTTGGTGCTGTCTTCTTCCCCAGCACCTGCAGCCCCGCGGTGGAGGTGGAAAAGGGAGCTGGTGCTTCAGTAAAGGGAAGCATGGGTGGCCTCAGGGGCCAAGTGGGGAGTGGGATGGCCAGTTGGGAATGACTTTCCTCAGAACTGGTCAACCTCCTCCTCAGAGAGTGGGGTCTGGCCCCACAGGCCCTGCAACCAGACAGAGTGGAGACCATGGACGTGTTGGGTGGCACTGGGTGGGGCCCTGCTGTCAGACCCCCCTCGCTCACTGGCCAGTCCCAAGCTGTGACCTCACAGCACCTGCCCCGTGTCCTCAGCACTGTGTCCCATGGTCACTTGTCAGCTGTGCAACACGGGTTTGCTGGGCGAGGCATACCCAGCTGCGACAGATGGACCCATCCCCGTCCTCCCAGAGCTCACAGACACCGAGCAAATGCACCCGCAGATAAACCGACGTCAGTTTGGGAAAGGGACGTTTGAGCTGAGACCTCAAGGTGAGGGGAGGACATTCCCAGAGGCAGAGAGCCTGGTGGGAAAGCAGCTGGTGAGGGTAGGGGTGGGAGGGGAGTCCTCTGGGGTGACACTGAGGGTTTCAGATTTTAAGTGCAGATGTGAGGAGAATGGGGGCCAGAACAGCGCGTGGTGATCGGCTGGCCCACACCAGCCCCTCCTCCTTCGAACCCTGTTCACCTTGTACACGAACGTGCACACGAAGTCGATGAAGCCGACCTGCAGTTTGGGGAGCTCGGCTGCCTTGTTCCGGTCCATCATCGGCTTACGGGGGGAGCAGAGACACGGTGAGGCGCTGGCTGGCAGGTGTGCCCAACAGCTCCTCTGAGTCCCCAGCACCCCTCAGTCCTAGCCCAGCTAGATGAGCTTATCCATGGACACAAGCTGAGCAGCAGCCCTGGGATGAGGGTGGGGCCCTGGCCCTGGGACCTAATCTGCCTTGATACACGCTGGCCATTGGAACAGGAAATCCAGGACACCCCGTGCCTCTCCAAGCCATCGGGCCTGATTCTGGGGCAGCCCGGTCAGTGTCCATGGTCCTGGCTTGTCCCATGTCTCCCGGGCTCCCGGGGAGCTGCTCTAGGGAGCCCCGGGCTCAGGCCAGGTCAGCCCCTGCTGGAGCTCTGGGAATCCTTTCCTCCCGCTCCCTGGGAGCTATCCATAGTGCTCACTGACCCAGCACACCGCTCCCTGTGGGGCAAACCCTAGGTGGGCTCAGAGGAGCTGTCCTTGGTATCCACAGATCCAGACCCCCAGCTACTTCCTGTCAGTTTCTTCTTCCAGTGACCCACCCTCTGGAGCTTGGTGTGGTGAGGGTGAGCCATGCAGGACCCTAGAGGCCTGGCCCAGAGGGGACAAACAGGCTTCCTGTCTTTCCCTCAAAATACTTTGCTAGTTGGCCAGGGACCATTTCCTGCACCTGCATCTAGTCCCAAAGTCTTCTCAATTCCTCGTTCAGTTACATGTTGACTGTGACACAGGCTCTCCCTCTTCCACATGTTGTTGGACAACCTATGCTGTCCTTGGCCCCTTGGGATTCTGACCCCACATTGCTGAACTGAAGACCCCCAGCATTGTCCATCTACCATGCTGTGGGCCCCCAGACTCCAGTCACTGGCTTTCTCTGGCCTTGCACTCTCCCCATGGGCCAGACCTGCTCTTCCCTGGGATTTCCGGAGCAGCTCATGGCCCAAATGGGGTTCACTATGGAGCTGCCTGGGCCCACGGAGGCTCTTGGTTATGAGCCACAGCCTGGTTCTGCCAGTTTCCGTAATGACTTTCCAACCTCTGCATGAGCATCACAACTCTACCCAGACCCTCAGCCACCTAAATTTACACTCGGTTCATGTCACATGATCCCACAAAGTGAGACTAAGGCCCCAGGACCCCAGAACCTCCAACGGTCCTCTGTCTGCACCGAGCCAGGACTGAGGCTCTCAAGGACTATGGTGGGGGTGGAAGATTCTGGAAGCAATACTCACAATGGGTTGCTGATCCAGAACTGTCCTTTCCAAGTCACCTTGCTCCCAGAACTCAGCTGCCACCAGCAGAGCGACCTAGGGGGCACACAGAGGCAGTCATCCTGTGGAGTTCAGTGCTGCGTCAGAAATTGTCCTGAAAACCCACTAGGAGGCTCCACGCCCTTGGCCCCCTCCACCCAGACCCTCTGGGGCCCCCCAATATTCAGGCTGAGCCTGACGCCCAGCAGTACCTCCTACTGTGGTGGCTGCCAGCCCAGCCCCAGAGCAGCGTGGCAGCCCTCAGCGCCACTTGCAAACCAACGGGTCTGTCCCCCCATTTCAGGTCCCCCTAGATGCAGGCCCACGAGGCAGTGACAAGAGGGCGGGGCCCCATGGGACTTCTGACCTTGCTCTGGACTTCCCAGGGCTTGGTGATGGCAGACAGGTCACACGCTGTCATCATCATGGCCCTGTGGGAAGAGGAAGCTCCAGGCACGCCCGGGCAGGCCTCCTGCCACCCCTGCGCTCTCCTCCCCCAGAGGCTGGGTGACTGGGGGGGCATAGGCCCAAGCCCCTGTGTCCTCCCAGCAGTGGATGGTCTTCCTGTGCACACCACTCCAGCTCCCCTCACACCCACCTCCCCTTGCAGCCACAAACTAAAGTCAACAGTCTCTGTGGGTGCCTTCTACATGCTGGTGACACACATGTCTTCCCTTATTGGGTCTCTGGGGCCATCCTGGGGAGGACATGGCTCTAAGGCTCCACTTCACAGAGGAAGGAACAGAGGCTCAGAAAGTGAGTGAATTACTGCCAAAGTCCACAAACTAAGGAAATGGCCTGTCTGATCCTGAATCCTGCACTGTCTCCCCTGACAAAGAGGAGCAAGGAAGACGGAGCATTTGCTTTGTGGCATCAAAGCCATTAAGAGATGAGCTCTTCTTGTTCTGGAGCATTCGGGGACCCTGGGGTCCCCTAGTCCCGTTGGGATAGGTTTGCAGGATTAACCAGCCACCAAGGGACAGAGACCCCTCCTGTCGCTCCCACTGCTTACATGACTATCTCCTTCCGGGTCGTCTCCAGGGACAGGTACTCCACCCAGCTCTTCCTGTCCTCATAATTCTTAGACTCGTCCACAATCTTCTGGAACATTGTCCTCTTCCTGAACCCCAGGAACAAGGGGAGAGAGTTGACCCCCAGCCCCTCACTCCACGCAGGACCCGCTCCTACGCATCCTCCTGGATCCTAACCCTACACCCTCCCAGGAGAGGATGACACAGGGAGTCCCAGCCTAGTGGGGCTGCAGGGAGGGAGTGGGTCGGCCTGGAGCATCCCCCAAAGTGGGCTCCTGTCCGGCCTCCTGAGGTCTCCACGGTCTTCTCAGAGACCGCCCCCCAGCCGGCTGCGACCGGCCTCCTGGGGTCCCCGTGGGGCGGGCGGACAGCAGCACCCACTTGAAGTAGAGCGCCAGGTCCGTGGCAATGATGGCGATGTCCATGAGGTGGATCACGTGCTCGTGCTGCCGCCGGTTCAGGTTCTGGTAGATGTTCAGCGTCTGCGGGAGGGGCTGCTGTCGCAGGGGCGCCCCAGGCCGTCCCCTCCCCCGCGGGGGTCGGCTGGCTTCCACCCACGGGTCAGGGGCACGCGGCCCAGGGGCCCCACACCGCCCCCCCCCCCGCCCAATGCCGCTCGCCCGCCCCCCCGCCGGCCTCGGACCGAGCTCCACCTCCCCCCCCACCCCCCCCCCGCCCCGCCCCGCATCCGAGCCCCGCCTTATGCGCCTGGGACGCCGCGGGGGGGCGGGGGGGGGGGCGCCGGTCGTGGTCCGTTGGCCGGGAACGCCCGAACCTCCTCCGAAAGCAGGAACTTCCCGAACTCCAGGTGATGCCGCTCCAGAATCGAGGAGCCGTGGAGCTTGGCCAAGGGATTCTGGGACCTGTTTCGGAGGTTTAGCAAAAACAGCGGCGGTCAGAAGCCGAGGGGCCCCCGCGCCCACCCCCGCAGGGAGGAGGCCGCGCCGCAGCCCCTCGGAGGCCGACCGCTGCCCGGCTCGCTGCGGGGTGAGCCCTTGGTCCCCCGGGACGGGACGCGGGCGGGGCCCCAGGCGCCCTACTTCATCTGGTACAGGTTGTTGGTGCCGCGGTGGTCGATGTCGTGGCACAGCCCGGCCGTCACCATGGCGAGGGCCTCCAGGTCCGTGTAGTAGCTCTTCAGCTTGCCGGTCTGCGGAGACGGGCATCTACGTCCTGCAGCCCGGCCAGCGCCCTGCCCGCCCCTTCCCCGCTCCGGGGCGGGGCACGCGGGGGCCTGGGGAGCTGGGCCTGACCCAGCTGCCTCTGCCAGCCCAGGCCCTCTGGCTCCCCTAGCCTGGGGGTGGGTGCCGGTGGGAGGGGCCTCCTCCAGCCTCTGCCCTTGAAGGGCCCTACCTCCTCCGCGGAGGTAGGGGCCTGTGACGCTGCCCTGGGAACCAGGAGGGTCCTCACAGCCCTGGTTAGAGCGGGTGCCTCTAGTGCCCGGGCTCCTGCGTGCTCTGCTCCCTGCCCGTGGGGACCACCCGGCTTCTGGGTGCTCTGCTCCCTCCCCTGTCCACGCACCATGAGCAACGTGAACATTGTCTGGGCCACATTGAAGCCGTGGCGCCAGTTGTGGTAGGTGATTCTCCGGTACCCTTTGCTCACGGAGAACAAGAACCGCACCAGGACCTGAGAGAGGCCGGGAGAAACACAGGCTCTCAGCACTGGGCTGAGGCCCACCAGCGTGTCCGCAGGCTGATGGCCGGTGTGAAAGCCCTGCTCATCTGGTCCCCTAGGCCCACTGACTCTCCGTGTCCCTGTGACCACGCTGCCCTGACTGCCTTCCTGGGTGGGCTGTGCCTCGTCAGGCACCTGCTGGATGGACAAGGGGTGGCAGGCCGCCTGAGGGGCTGGAGCTGAAGCTGAGAACTGATCCAGCATTCATGGGGCGTCCGGGGCCTCCAACCTATCGCCCAGCCCAAAATTGGGAAGAGGACCCCAGGCAAGGGGTCTGGTATATTTTAGAAGAAAAAGTCTGTTTCAGGCATGGATATTTGAATGGGGCGTGATGTGTGGGCACCTGGCACTGTGATGGAGAAATAAGATGGTGGCTGAAGGTCCAGAGGCCCAGGGGCAGGCAGGAGAGGGTGAGCCTTTTTCTGCAGGGCAGTTATCTCTGGACGACAGAATGTGGGCCAAGTGGGTCGTCTTATTGTTTCTATTGTGATTTTTAGGGCCAGAAATTATTTGGAAATATTTTTTATTCTGTTAATTTTTTAATATATTTTTTACTTTTGTGTTTTCCTTAAGTACTTAGTAAAATTTCTTTTTAAAATGCCAGCCTGCTGCACCTGTTCTCAGGGGTGCCTGAGGAAACTCGTTCCCTCACTGGGTGGTGGGGAGGCGTGTGGAGGTGGAAGCAGGGCAGAAACGGAAAACCTCAGGGAAGCGGCAGAGCTGGGCAGGCCATCTCCTCCTCCCTGGGACCACCTCTGAGGGGCTCTGTGTTCAGACATAGAGGATGCCGCGTGCTTTCTGCACAGGTGACGGGAGGCTTCTGTCTCCTCCACCCCACGCCCAGAGATGTGCTTAATGATCGAGTTACCTGGAACTCCTGTTTATCACTTTCCATTCATCCATCCATCCCGTCTTTTATTCTAGGCATGCGCGTGTGTGTACTTTACCTGCCTTCACTGTCCATTCTGTAATGAACATGCCTGCCCCCAAACTTCCTGTGGGACCTGGACCCCTGACCACATCTCTCCCACCTTTTGGGGGACCTAGGACCCCTGGCCAGTCCCCATCCCACCTCCTGGGGGATCTGGAACTTCCGGACCACACCCAGCTCGTAGTACATCTGGATGCCGCATTTGACCAGCTCCAGCTCTGTGCACTCCAGATCGGAGAAGTGGAACTCATAGATGTCAAACTTGGTGGGCCCTGGCAGCACTTCTTTCTGTGGGAGGGATTGTGGGGCTGAGGGAGACAGGCCCATCAAATCTCCACTTGTCCCTCGTCTCTTCTCCTCCTAGAACCCTCTGTCCAGCCTCAGACGCCCCAGGTGTCTGGTGACATTGCCCTTCCAGTCGCTCTGGCCTGTAGCCCGGGACACACACATCCCTGCTGGCTCAGCCCCCTCCCTCCCCTCTCCTCCCACCCGTGGCCCAACAACAAGAACTTGCCTAGCTGGGCAGACACAATGATGTCGCCAGGGAAACAAACACAAAAATATGCACATAAAAAGATACTCAGGCACAACCAAAGATACACAAGGACGTGAATACGCAGAGTCACACGAAACGATACACAGGCACACAGGACACACACGACACATGTGACACAGACACGTATGGACACAGACACACACGGCATTCACACATGAACACAGGATCACACACGACACAGGTGCACACATGACATGACACACAGAAACAGGCACACACACACATGACACACACACACACACATGGATACAGGCACATGGGTACACAGACAGCACCAAACATCACAAGACGAAACTGCGTGCTCAAACACACTCCTGTCTCCTGGGAGTAGAGATATCTCTGTCACCCTCAGCCCTTCCAGTCTCCACCTGAGGGGTGGGAGTCTGATTCTGACCAAGATTTTCCCCAGCTCGTCCTCCTCACAGTCAGCAGGCTCCTTCCCCAGGAGTTCTCTTGTTGGCTAGGACAGAAAAAGTGTTATGAGACAGAGTGACAGCGTCACCTTCAGCCCGCGTGTTGGGACAATGAGACACTGTCACTTAGGCTCCTCGTGTGGGGGGCAAGGTGACAGCGTAACCTATACCCCTCATGTTGGGACAAGGTGACAGCGTCACCTACACCCCTCATGTGGGGGACCAGGTGACAGCATCACCTACACCCCTCATGTGGCGACAAGGTGACAGCGTCACCTACGCCCCTTGTGTTGAGACAAAGAGACATCGTCACCTACACCCCTCGTGTGGGGGACAAGGTGACATCTGGCACAGAAGAAGGATGATTGCCTGGGAAGCCTGGCCTAGCAGTTGCAGAGAGAAGGGACATTGCGCGTGGGGTGCTCGCATTCCCTGCGCGTCTCTGCCTTTGGCACATCCTGAGTCTCCACATGGATGGCTGGTTGAGCCCTCACACAGCATGACCGGGAAGGCTCTGACCACCCCTGCTCATGGCTGAGGAAAGGACCCCAGGCCGGGCAGAGCGTGTGGGACCCCAGGACGAGGCTGGGCCCTGACTCCCGGCTGTCCTGCCTCCCCACCGGGCAGAGCTGTACCAGGATCGACTGGATCTCGTCCTTGTCGCATCTCACGTGGTACAGAACCATGTCCTGGGCGATGTCCTTGCGGTTCTCCAGCTTGTTCATCTTGTCGTAGGTGTCGGTGTTCAGCACTGACCAGCCCAGGAATTGTGTGAGGGACTGCGGACGGAGCCATGTGTCACCCACCCTGACGAGCACCTCGTGTGCCTGGCTCTGCATCCTGTGTGCAGCTCCCCCACTGTGCCACTCCAGGGCAGTGAGTGCTTCTAATGGGGTCTCTGTGGTGCCCACCGGGGAGCCCCTGGCTTCCATGAATGGGACCTCACAGCTCTTCCTTTTCCCCACTCTCTTTGGGCCTCATGCTGGGTCAGGGGGCTATGGCAGGCGGTAGGGAGGGACCCTATATGGGTAGGTCCTGCACCATCACACAGGTGTCACCTTGAGTTGCACCTGTGACGAGTGTTTACCTCCATGAGGACTTCATCCTGCTCATCGAAGGGCTTCCCGTCTTTCCTGTTGTAAAACGTTGCAACCCCCACAATCTCCTCCTTTTTGTTGACGATGGGCATGGAGAGGACGTTCTTGATGACCCACCCAGAGTCATCCAGAGGCCCTTCCTGCAGGGAGAGGTGTCCAGAGATGACCACTGCTCTGGGTGGGGCCCTGGCCCGGGCTTGACTCCCAGTGGGCGTGAACCTCATTTCTTCTGCCCTCGAGCTGCGGGGACCAGGTCAGTGCTCCTATCTGTGCACTGCCCCTGGCACGAGAACTCCACGACTGGGGGTTTTGTTGTGATCTCTCCCACTAGAGGAGGCGGAAGATATTTTCCCAGCAGGGTGGCTTCGAAGTGTGAGTGCTGGGGTCACAGAGGGTCCCTCCCTCGGAAGCTCCCACGCTATCTGAACGCTCTGCTGCCATACTCTTAAAGTTCTTAGTGACTGTCGAACAAGGGGTCTTGCACTCCCATTCCTCGGGGCCCCAAATCACGTGGCCAGTCCTCTCACCCGTCCCACTGACACCTGGCCAGTGGAGTATGGACACTGGCAAGTTCCTGGAGGAGCCCCTTAGAGACAAAGCCCATTTCCACCAGTCCACTTGACCCTTGGCCTCCTCCAGAAAAGAGCCTGCCCTGGTCCTGCGTCCCCATGAGGACACGAGGAGCAGACTGAACCCTTGCTGGAGCCCAGCCTGCCCAGGAAACCCGCAGACCTGAGTGGGTGAGCTGCATGTCTGTTGTTGTTAGCCACCGACATTTTGAGGCTGTTTCTTAAGAAGCAAAAACGAATCTAGCCCATTGTTTCTGAACCACAGCATCTTCCTTCCTACGTAAGTACTCTTTCTGCTAATGAGTGGACAGATACCTGAAATTTGAATGTCTCGTCGGCGGGGGCATTCATGATGTTACAGATCTGAAAAACGATCAGAAAAACGACTTCACCTGAAGCAACTGAATGGACAATATGATTCTCAGCAAGACTGTCCCACCCTATGGGCCTCTAAGTGGGCAAAGTGGGGCAGCGCACAGGCTGGTGGGAAGGGCCAGTGCAAGGGATAGAGGGCAGGGCTGTGGGGACTCACAAAGCCACTTTCTGCCACGTAGGTCGGAAGGCCACTGGCCAGGGCCCAGTGATCAGCCGGGGGTGTGCTGGAGAGAGAAGCAGGGGTCAGGTGGTGCAGAGGCTCCGCAAGGTGGGTGTGTGCATGTAGGTTTCGGCAGGTGTGTGTCAACATTTCCTGCTCTGGATCCAGGTGATAGAGGGATGATGGAGATTGTGGGGTGGGGCGGGGGAAGGTAGTGAGTGGGTCGTGGGAAGCTGGTGAGGACTCAGGAGGGTTGGGGGCTGAATTTTGGGGCATCTGAGCTGCCTCATTCCCCCTCTTCTGTCCATGCTGTGGCCCCTCATCCTGGAGGAGCCCCTTTTCCCTACTGGAAGCCACATGCTCCATCCCAGCCTCGGGGGCCCAGTACTGGTCACCTGCCCTGTGGGCCTGGCCCTGACCTATGTCCAGGCCTAGCACTTAGATCCCAGACCCTGCCTGGGACCTGTGGGCTGGGGTCATGGGGTCACATGGCCATGTGACTCTAGGTCTGGGAATGGCCGGCTGCCTTTACCCCGTCTCCCTAAGTTGGAGTCCTGCCCTGTCCCCCACTGGGCTGTGAATCCCACTGAACTGGCTGTGCCCTCCTGTCCTGCCCCACTGGATATGCAGTGTTGGGCCTCCCTTCCGCCGGCTCCACCTTCCTGGGCTGGCAGGATGAGCCAAGATGGGACCCCAAGGGCATCAAAGGTCAGTTGCTGCTGACAAGGCCACCTGGACAACTCGCCTAATCTCCTGCCCCACATGTCCATGGTGCCTCAGGCTGTCACCTCCCTCCTCACCCACCAACTCATTTTCTCCTAGATGAGCGAGTCAGCCTCCCTCCCCATCCTGTTCTGCCGCGACCCACAGTGCAGGGAGCACCATGCGAGGGACTGTGCCAGGAGCCACCGATCCACTGTGACTGGTCCCTGGAGCTGACCCAGCCTGGGTCTGGGGTGGTCCTGCCCTTAAGCGATGCTTCTCATGAAACTCTGGCACTTACGGGATGACCTTGATGTCTTCCTTGCCGTGGAGGATGTAGTCAATGACTTTGTAGAAGAGGATTTCCTGAGAAACAGACCACAGCAGTCACCAGGGGAACCTCCCTGAGAGATGAGAGGAGCCACCCAGATGCCTTGCCCCGGACACACACACATGTGCACACGCACACGCCACATGCACCCACACAGCCACACACACGTGTACACACACACCCCACACCCACCTACACAGCTATACACAGCCACACACAGGTGCACATGCACACACCACACCCACCCACACAGCTATACACAGCCACACACATGCACACCTGTAAACACACAGACCATCACAGACACTCGTGGGACACACACCACACACTGGCTTATGTGTCTTTCCTCTCATCTGTGTCCTCATTACATTTGTGTCCCACTCCAGCCCACACACAAATGGGGCCTCATACCCCTTCATACACACACACACAGCCTACCCAGGCCTGTGCAGCTGTGACACAGCCACACAGCCACACACTCACTCCTGGAACCATGGCAAGGCATGGTCACAGCTACCCTTGTGCAGGGACTCCTCTGCACACTTGGCTCACAGAGCCCACTGATCCTCACTGTGCCCTGCGTGGAGGCCCTTGTTATCACCGCCGTTTGACAGGCGGGGAGACAGAGGTGTGGCGAGGCTATGCAGCGTGCCCCAGGTTGGATGCACAATAAGTGGCAGAAGTGTCTGCCCATGCTTTTACCCTCTGTTCACACTGCCTCTCTGAGGTGCACACATGTGTGCACACATGCACACACACACATACAAGTGGCCCCATTTGGGGAGATGTTACAATGATTTAAGGATGGGGTAGCAGGAGGATCAGCCCATCAGACCAGAAGCTGTCATGACAACCAGGCTGACGGCCCTTGTCAAGAGACCAGTCCAGGCCCCCCGTGACAGAGCCAGGCAGGGCTGGAGTCAGGGGGAGGGGCCTGTCCTCAGGAGCGGTCAGACAGCTCTCTGTCCTGCCTCCCTACACACTTCCCCTCACCCTCCCCATCCCACCTGGGGTTGGGCTGGGACAGGCCCCTTCCCACCCTGGAGCTGGAGCCAGGGAAACTGAGGTGTGTGGGCTGGGCCTGTCCCCCGCTACCATGACTTACACGGCCATCGGGCGTGCGTGGGCCTGAGTATGGCTGGGCTTCTCCCATAAGCACAGGCCACACGTCGAAGAATTCCTGGGCAGAGAAGAGAAAGGAGCGAGGCAGCGGGTCAGTGCTGAAGCAGGACGAGGCTGGCTAGGGGCTGGCGGGAGCTGAGGCCTCACCTTCTCCTTGGTCATGTCCAGGAGGCCCACTGAATATCGGTCGCAGTTTAGATAGGCCCGCACGGTGTAGAAAGCCTTGTGGAACTGCCTCTCGATGTCTGTCAGCTCCTCAAACACTTTGTTGGCCGACCACAGCAGCACCTGGGGGTGGGGCATACCTGTGGACCCATGGCCACACACACACACACACACACACCTGTCTGACTGCAGCAGCACCTGGGTGGGATCTGTCACACCTGATACACACACAAGCACACATGCGTCTGACCACAGAGCCCCACAGGGACACTGATGGATGATGCCTCTCCAACAGTGTCTCGATACAGTGCTGTCACCCAGGGTTTCATCGCAGCACAGGACTACCCAGGGGCCCCAGAAACCTTCTGGGAGGTAAGGCCTCCAGGCTTTGCCACAATCCCACCACTCACTGCCTGGTGCTGGCCTCATGCTGAGCTAGCAGGTGAATGGGTATGTGGAAATAAATAAAGAAACACTAACTGGACTGGACTGTGAAGGCCTGCAGTGGGGCTCTGGCCCATTGCATGTGGTCATTTACACCAAACAGGAAGTACCACCACTTCACTGCTGAAGGAAGATTTCTCTCCCTGCCTGGCAACAGCCAGCCAATGGGAAACGCCACAGCTCAGCCAATGAGAGACCCTGCAGCTCAGCCAATGAGAAACACTGCAGGTCAGCCAATCAGAGACACTGTGGCCCAGCCAATCAGAGATGCCACAGCCGGGCCAATGAGAAATGTGCAGCCCAGTCAATGAGAATGTGTTGCCACCCTGAACTGTTCCTCTCCCCCAATGGACCTTCCTTTAGAACAGCCCCTCTCTCTCCCCCTTTTTCTGTATAAAAGCAGCTCCCTCCTTTGTTCCCTGGATTTGCCTGTGGTTCACCAGAGCACACACATCCTGAACTGCAATTGTTTTTGCTATTCCCGAATAAACTCATCTGTGGATAAAATAACAGGGGAATTTGTTTTTAAGTTGACACGTGGATGAATGAAAATTGGAATCAATTGCCATGAACTTGAGAGGCAAAGGCCTGGCCAGCCAGCCCTCCATAATCAGCCTGTGAGAAGTGGGGTCTGAGAATAGGAATTCCTTGTTTTGTGGATATCAGGTCCTTTTGTGGTCTCGCCAAAGCAAGGTGATGATTCATTGACATGCTCCATGAAGCCCTGGCCAGACACTGCCTGTGGCATCGACCCCCAGCCAGCACCAGGCAGCTGTCCAGGGCTTCTGGCTAGGCTCAGACTAACTCTGCGGGGCTCTCCTCCCTGCCTGCCTGGACTGTGTTCCAGCCCTCATGCTCTGTCTCCAGCTTGTAAGGAGCCCCGCTAGGTGTTGAACCCTCTCCTCCTCCCAATCCTTCCTCACACAGCCCCCTTCCTGTCCTCCCCACTAGCCCTCTGAAGCCCCCCCCCCCCCCACCGGTTGCTGTCATAGGCAGGGATGAACCTGGAGACCCCACCTGCCCTGGAGTCCTTCCACCATGAGGCAGCCCAGTGCCTACCTCTCCCCATTGGTGGCTTGGCCCTGCCCCCTCTCTATCCATCTCTCTCCATCGCACTCCCAGGTGATCTCAGCTGACTCACTACAGGGCCTTTGCACAAGCTCTGTCTTCTGCCTTCACAGCCCTCATCCCAGTGCTTTCTCATCCTTGAGTCTCAGCCTAAAGTCATCTCCAGAGGGCTCCCCCTGAACACCTGCCAAACCAGATCTCCTGCAACGCCTCATTTTGTTCCCGACCTCACGATGAACAGTCTCATTATTCCCCACTTAATCACAAGCTCTGTGATGTCAGGAGGTGCAGCTTTTCCATGGCCAGAGTGGCACCTAGCACCGGAGTGCTCAATGTGCGTTTGTTGAATTCATGGAAGGCTATGAGATTTGCAGCTCTAAGGAAGACTGAACAACAGGTCCTGTGGCCAGCTGCCACTTGGAAGTCTGCACATGCATGTCAGGGGTGGGTGGGACTACATGGTCACCCACACCACACTGCGTCTCCTTCATCTGTCAGCTGGTGGCTAAGCACCTCAATTCCCAGCTGCTAATGGCCTGGAAATAAAAGTGCCCAGTACAGAGCTCTCGACCCTTTTCCCCTATCACAGTGGGTAGTGATGCTGATCCGCCTCTCCCCAGCTCTGTGACCCCAGGAAACTTCGCCAATGTGCAGACCTGTCTCCCAACCTACAAAATGGGGATAGTGATGTTCTGCCCTCAGGATGCTTGGAAGATTAAGTGTCAGGCTCTCAGAAGAGTGCCTGGCTCTCGAGAGCCCCATGTGTGAGTGTGAGCGTGTCTGAGTGTGTACGTGTGTATGTGTGTGCATCTGGGTGTGAGTGTGTTAACCACCTGTGTGTCCATCCCACAAACACTCCCTGAGCTCTCCCTGTGACAAAGCTCTGACTCAGACGAGAACCCACATCAGAGATGTCAGAGTCAGGGAAGTCATGGTCGGGGGAGGCCAGGCGCTCAGAGATGTCAGGGACAGCTGTCCCTGGTCCTGCTGAAGCTCGGTGGGGGTTGGGAGGAGTGTCTGGGTTGCACATCTAATTTTTGAGCCATCTGAATACTTTCATCCCCAAAGGCCATGCCTCAGGAGGGGGACAGAGTGAGGAGGAAAAGGGCTTAGTTCTCACAGCGCAGTGTCTTGGTGAGAACTTCCTCCACTCCCCACCCTGTCCCCTCTGTCCCTGTCCCCAGCAGAGCATCTCCTGTCACCCCCTGGCCCTCCCATGCCCCCATCAGACCAGAGACCAATCACCAAGTGCTGGACACTGCTCTGAGGCAGGTCCTGTTATGGCCTCAAGGGAGTGGGGGCTCAGCAGGTTAGGCCGGTGTCCATATGGTCTGAAGCCAGGCAGCACGCCCCCACCCCCCAGGGCTCTGTCCTTCCCCCTTCTTCCTATTTCCTTTGTAACTTTCTGAGTTGAGTCTGCCCACACAGACAGTGAGTAAGGTGCAGGCATCTTTGGAACATGGCTGGATGGTTTTTCACGTCAGCATGTGTGTGTGTAGCCACTGCTAGGTCAGGATTTAGAGCATTCCAGCCCCCTGAAGTTCCTCTGTCCCAGTCAGTGCCTCCCGACCCCTCCTGGAACGGCTCTTCTTACCATTGGCCCTGGAGTGTTCTGGGACTTCATCTAAGTGTCTTCACACAGTGCCTCTCCAGTGTCCCTTTGGGGTGATTCTTCATGAATCTCCAGTCTGCTCCTCCCTCCCCTGCACATGGGCCTTGGGCTGTCTCCATCTTGACTGCTATGAATCGCAGTATCTGTGGTGCCAGCTGAGGGCCCCCTGGACACCCTCTCACCTGTTGCTTTGATCCTACCCTCAGTTGCTCATCTTCTCAGGACAGTCTTCCCTGCCTCCTACTCCAGGCCAAGGAGAGCTCCAACCCTGGCTGATGCCCTCATGTTGCCTACTGGAGATTAGCAGGCCAGGACCCTCAGAGAGTGGCCTTGAGAGTCAGGGGATGGGGCCCAGCCTTTCTAGAGAAGCTGGAAACCCAGATTCTTATGTGAAATCTCAACTTTAAAATCTTGGGCACGGACCCTCTTTCAGGGTGCAGGTCACGCTTCACCTTTTGAGTCTTCTGGACTTTGACCCCTCCCCAGGGAGTGGCATCCCCTTCTTGACCCTGAGCCTGTGTTGGCTGTCATCAGCACACACAGCACAGCAGTGCCACCCAATGTTATGTGAGCAAAACACCAGATGGTTGTTTGAGTGACCAGGAGCGTGTGGTTGGCCAGGGAGCTTCAGTATTGCCCTCCATGGATTCATTAAGTATATTCTGGCTTAATGCTCCAAGGTGAAATCTGGGGCTGATGGTGAGGGGCCGTTTGGTGACCTCAAAAACAAGTGGAGACATTTGGAGACAGACAACACGGGCCTGCACAGCCCCCTGGAAGGGGGAGGCTGGCCTTATGAGGCCTAATCCTATGCTCACACTACAGGAGGGAGGTGTCAGGATGACTGGAGGGCAAGGGGCAGACAGGAAAGGTAACTGCAGTGGACCCTGGGCGGCTTCGGCTCCCAGGGTTCTTATTTGGTGGTGAGCTCCTGAGAGCTGGTTGTAGAATCTTCAGGAATTTTCATAGCCAGATGTTAAATAGAACATTAAAGTTAAATGATATAAACTTAAAAATTAAGAAAATTATATTAAAACAAAGATTATAAATATGCAAACCCATCGCTTCCTTGTTATTCCACTACAGTTCACCATTACCCTAGCTCTTGAGGTATTTACGGTGGAGAGACAACCTACTCTACAGCACATCTCTTCCTAACTCTGTGTCCAGTGACTTCACAGTGGGGACTTCAGTGATGGAAATCGGTGGTGTTGCCCAGGGTGGAGAAGCGCGTCAGCCCCTCCTTGCTGCTTCCTGACTCACATATGACTCTGAACGTTTCTACTTGTTCTTGTTGCTTCTATTGCCTCTGACCAAAGTGGTGAGACACTTTCAGGAAGGGGTTGACAGGACCCCTGAGCCAGAGTTCGTGCAGAGGGTGATCAGGACTGAACATAGTTTTTGAGGAGGGGCAGCAGTGTCTGAGGGTGAAGGGCCCTGCTGAGGGGTCTTCAGGACCCTGGAGAGTGGCTACGGTTTTGGAGGAGGGCAGGGATGAGCTCTACCCTGAGAACTGCCTTAATTCTCAGTCACTGGCTCTCCTACAGCACAAGGAAGAGAAGAAACAAGGTGAAGGCAGCAGGCTTAACTGCAAGCCATGTGGGAGCCAGTCTTGGTTCATTTTAGACTTTTCTTCTCGAGAAGAGCTGTGAGGTAGAGCCCCTGCACTTCGTACAAATTAATTAGGTTTCTTAAAAATGCTGTTCAGAGTGTAGGTCTCAGAAACAGCTGTCTACTAGGACCAGGTGACATCTGAATGGAAAATCAAAGTGCTTAATTGAGACGTGAATGTCCAGTGCTGGAAGGCCATTTTAGAATCCCACTGGAAGCACGTCTGTACATGCATGTGGTCTGAGGAGTTGGGAACAATGAGTTTCCAGATAGTCTGTGTTTCCTAAGTGTCAGCAATTAATTTGCTGGAATGATATCTATTACCTCGTTTAGGTCTGGGGGACAACTGGACAACAGAAAAGACAGAAATCCCCAACTCTTAGATTCA